CAGAACAACACATTTTCTTTGCTTGCAACTTCAGTGCATCAGTTTGGGATCAGGTTAGACAATGGCTTGGTATTACACGCACTATGTCTACTCTCCTTAGTGCGTTGAAATGGATGAAAAAAGAGGCTCGTGGAACTACTTGGCACAGCAAAGCAAAAAAATTGCACTGGCCAGCACCGTGTATCATTTGTGGATGGCACGTAACAAGAAAATTTTTGATGAACTCCAGGCACAAGTTCAAAACGTTATTAAATGAAATAAAACACATGTATACAAAGATATGTTTTCATTGTATCCACATGTTTTAGTCCTTTACAAGTCGTTAGCGCTAGATGAGTAACTTGTATTTTGTTAGCCTTCTACCCAGGTTGCCGGTGTATAGGTGATTACTTATTCTTGTTTGTGGTGATTCACCCGGGAATGCCCGGTGTACTTGTTGATATGTTTTCCCAGTGTACTTGTTGATATGTTTTGATCTATATAATTCACATTTACCGATAAAAAAAAAAGTGGTTGAGAGTAAGCGTAAGCTGACCCGTAAGTTCTTCGAGTTTCTCTACACTTGCTTCGCTAGAGCGGCACGAAACATAGGTGGAAGTTCGAAGGTCCATACTACCAACATGACCCTTCGCTTCGAGGGATTGATGAGCGTGTTTTACTCATGCTTTTAATGACATTTAAACTTAAGAATTTGTTGATATTTTAGAGTTTTAGAACGTTTTGATATTTTTATCCATATTGTGTTATAGGTTAGCTGGCATAGTGACAAAAGCAAGTTTTGGAGCTTGGAAAAGATCCAAAGAGATCAAGAAATGAATAAGACTCGGATGCATGCTAAGACTCTAAAGAAAGAGGCTAAAATGAAGGAAAACGAAGTGGATTCAACGACAGAGGCAATGCTTAAAGCCATCAAAGCAAATTTCAACAAAACGTGGGCACCCAGACTCCACCATCATGGAGCTCACGCGCCACTCAAAGACAAAAAAAATAAAAATAAAAATGGATTTACAATGATCTAGCTCCCAGGCACCGGCCAGATTCAAGTTGCGGTGCCCAGGTGCCACATCTATAGTTCCAAGGCGCTGTGCCGTATACTGTAGGATTGTTTTCTTGGCCCGTGAAAAGCCTGAAATGATCCCAATCCATCCTGAACTTGAATAAGGAATAAATTTAACATGGGAGGCACTTTCCAAGCAAAATTCAACGAGGCAAGAAACAAGAGATCAAGCAAGAAAGCAAGAGCAACATCGCAAAGAAGTTTGAATCACTACCAAAAACAGTTTCTCTTTTTTTCTATATGTTTTTTTATTATGAAGTTGATTGTGTCTCTTCCATGTATCATGAACTAATCTTCTCATCAAGGGTTTGATGTAATCGACATTTGAAATTATGATTTGATTTTAAATAATTATTTTATTGAGATTTACCATTACGTTTATTTGTGTTATTTGGATTAAATGCTTCCAATTAACTGGCTATTGATTGAATGAGTTGATTGCTAGTTTGAACACTCGTGAGAGGGAACCTTAGAATGGATCATAGAATAACATAAGTTTTATAGCTTTTGAGAGAAAAATATAGACCCTTTGAAGCAATTCCATATAACTATAGAACTTGATAATTCCTGGACTTCTAATTCGAAACATAGATATTGGAATTGAATTATAAGAATAACTTTTACTCGGTACTCGAGAGATGGAGTAGAATTAAATTAGGATTCTTGCTTGTAAATATAGAAAAATTAATTAGAGATAACTATATAATTGAGAAACATAGTCGATAGATGAATGAAATCATAACCCTGGGCTTTTATATATTGATTAATTTTTCTATATTGCATAAAATTGTTAGGTTCATCACAATATTCACATTATAATTAGATAAACATTGATAATAAAAATTCGATCATATAGATAAAATAAAGGTTATTCATTTATAGTACTTAATAAAAAAAATTCATATTCAATCCTTGTGCGCTCAACTTCCTAACTTCACGGTTATATTACAAAATTTGACAATCGTACGCTTGTGATATAATTGCAGTATAGTAAATGCGTAACAAGTTTTTTGCCGCCTTTATTGAGGATCGAACCCAAGTCACCCACATAACACGCATGTATACTCACCACTAGACTATTCCAAGCCTATGGTCAAAGATTGAAGCATTACTATGGAGAGCAAGAACGTGAGGTCGAAGACATCTCTCTTAGAAAATCAAGCTAAAACCACTTCAACGTCAAGTTAATAAAGCTAAAAAAGCACTTCTTGAAAGATAACTCAAGCTCTTTCCCGTCTTTTCAATTATTTAAATATTAGATCATGCAATTCTTTTCTTGTTTTTAACACTTTCACTCTTTTTTTAAGGCTAAGGTTCATGTTTGGGGCCAAATTATGGTGAGAATGGAGATCGGTGTTAAAAAAAATTACAGTTTACAATGCCTCATAAACGTGCGAGAAACACGGCTTCCTCTCCAGCATCCTTTGATAGGACAAAATTCATAAGCGGCACTACAACAAAAAAGCCTATGGAAACGTTGAAAAAAAGATGTCGAAAACCTTTTGCAACGTTTGGACATGTGTTGCAAATCGAGGTGTTGTCGTAGAGTAATGACTCCTTATGAATAAATTTTGAAATTGCATAAAAATTGATAATTTTATTACAAATTTTTGAATCCATACACTTGAATATTAGAATGTGATACAAAAACACCTAAATAAAAATGAGTTTCAAAATGGTAATACATCAATTGATAGTAAGTTGGGCACCCAGACTCCACCATCATGGAGCTCACGCGCCACTCAAAGACAAAAAAAAAATGGATTTACAATGATCTAGCTCCCAGGCACCGGCCAGATTCAAGTTGTGGTGCCCAGGTGCCACATCTATAGTTCCAAGGCACTGTGCTGTAAACTATAGGATTGTTTTCTTGGCCGTGAAAAGCCTGAAATGATCCCAATCCATCCTGAACTTGAATAAGGCATAAATTTAACATGGGAGTCACTTTCCAAGCAAAATTCAACGAGGCAAGAAACAAGAGATCAAGCAAGAAAGCAAGAGCAACATCGCAAAGAAGTTTGAATCACTACCCAAAACAGTTTCTCTTTTCTTCTATATGTTTTTTATTATGAAGTTGACTGTGTCTCTTCCATGTATCATGAACTAATCTTCTCATCAAGGGTTTGATGTAATCGACATTTGAAATTATGATTTGATTTTAAATAATTATTTTATTGAGATTTACCATCACGTTTATTTGTGTTATTTGAATTCAATGCTTCCAATTAACTGGCTATTGATTGAGTGAGTTGATTGTTAGTTTGAACACTCGTGAGAGGGAACCTTAGAATGGATCATAGAATAACATAAGTTTTATAGGTTTTGAGAGAAAAATATAGACCCTTTGAAGCAATTCCATATAACTATAGGACTTGATAATTCCTAGACTTCTAATTCGAAACATAGATATTGGAATTGAATTATAAGAATAACTTTTACTCGGTACTCGAGAGATGGAGTAGAATTAAATTAGGATTCTTGCTTGTAAATATAGAAAAATTAATTAGAAATAACTATATAATTGAGAAACATAGTCGATAGATGAATGAAATCATAACCCTGGGCTTTTATATATTGATTAATTTTTCTATATTGCATAAAATTGTTAGGTTCATAACAATATTCACATTATAATTAGATAAACATTGATATTAAAAATTCGATCATATAGATAAAATAAAGGTTATTCATTTATAGTACTTAATAAAAAAATTCATATTCAATCCTTGTGCGCTCAACATCCTAACTTCACAGTTATATTACAAAATTTGACAATCGTACGCTTGTGATATAATTGCGGTATAGTAAATGCGTAACAAGTTTTTTGGCACCTTTATTGAGGATCGAACCCAAGTCACCCACATAACACGCAGGTATACTCACCACTAGACTATTCCAAGCCAATGGTCAAAGATTGAAGCATTACTATGGAGAGCAAGAACGTGAGGTCGAAGACATCTCTCTTAGAAAATCAAGCTAAAACCACTTCAACGTCAAGTTAATAAAGCTAAAAAAGCGCTTCTTGAAAGATAACTCAAGCTCTTTCCCGTCTTTTCAATTATTTAAATATTAGATCATGCAATTATTTTCTTGTTTTTAACACTTTCACTCTTTTTTTAAGGCTAAGGTTCATGTTTTGGGGCCAAATTATGGTGAGAATGGAGATCGGTGTTAAAAAAAAATTACAGTTTACAATGCCTCATAAACGTGCGAGAAACACGGCTTCCTCTCCAGCATCCTTTGATATGACAAAATTCATAAGCGGCACTACAACAAAAAAAGATGTCGAAAACCTTTTACAACGTTTGGACATGTGTTGCAAATCGAGGTGTTGTCGTAGAGTAATGACTCCTTATGAATAAATTTTAAAATTGCATCAAAATTGATAATTTCATTACAAATTTTTGAATCCATACACTTGAATATTAGAATGTAATAAAACACCATCTACATAAATAGGAGCTTCAAAATGAAATAAAATTAGAAGACTCCAGCACCAAGTCTACATCTCTCTCCAAACAAAAGTTACTAGTCACAAACTACCCAAAATATGAACCATCCTAATTACTCTCTAAATGTCTCCTTCTAGTTCTCCTACTACCTTCCATTTTTCTGTCTTCACTTTTCCATCCGGTATAACCGGAGCAAGAACCACCTGGAAAATGCAGAAAATCCATTAGCAAAAAAGATAAGGAAAAGAATGGTTGAGTCACATCCAATATTGGCATCTCAATTAATAAATAAACTACCACTGATTACTTTTTAAGTTAAGCATTTGAATTTCAAATGGCATATAAATCACCAAAAGCACAAGGTTTTGGACTAAGGTTCTTCTTGAACGGATATAATTCCTTTTTGAATGAGCTAAATATTTCATAATCCCCTAGCAGAAAATGTGCAAAAAAATTCACAATTTCATTCTCGACATTTAGAAAGAGTGCATTTATGTTCTCATGGAGTTTTGGTACCTGAAAAATTGATTTCGACATAGCAATTGCATCAACTGAAACCATAAAAGAGGAGTAACAAGAACTGATGCAATAGTAGTTGAGTTGGTTAATAGAATGCTTAAGGCCACATCGCCTTTGATCAAGAAGCTGGCATAGCTTGATAGTTGTGCCCCGGCAATACAAGACATGAGAACAAAACCAGCATAGAACATAGGACCAAATCCCCATGCTACTAATACCCCAAGAGTCGGTTTCAAAACATATTGTGCGGCAAAGCCAACAGATAACGATGTAGGTCTGCAACAAATTCAAATTTTATTAAATTCAAAAGCCTCAAAACCATCAACATCAGAAAACTTAAAAGAATGAATAGTAAAAGTCACAACCTTTTAAATGCAAGAGCAAAATCATCAATGGAAAGTCTAATTGCAATAGACAACATAATTCCTCCGAGTGCAAGAGCATACGATACCATTTGAACCATAATTGATGGATAGTCCAATCAACACCAAAACCTGATTTTATTATGATAATACATATATGTGACACCTGAATTGTTGTTCAAGCAGGCATGCATTTAGCGGTCCGACAACTTTTGGGGCTGTATTTTTGTCAAAATTCAAGTGTTCTAAAATGCCACATTCTGTGAGTTAAGAGACTTTGTTTTACATAAGAGCAAATTAAAGTTATAATCTTATGATAGCATTAACTTTAATACTATTGTTGACCATTTGAACCATAATTGATGGAAAAAGTCCTATTCATCATTCACAAATACAAATTCAATTTTACCTTGGAAATGTCGAGGGATGAAAAGCCTCAATACAATTGCAATGAAAGAAATCCATTTTCCAACCTCACCCCTTCACCATAATGCCAATTATTTTGCTGAGAAAATTGACTTCGGTTGAAAGAAAGAAAGTAGAACTTTGAGGCAGAGACCATTACCTTAACAAGTGGAACAATCCTGAAGGAAAACTTAAGAAAATATAAGGAACCAGAACGGAAGTCACCTTAACCAGTCGCACAGTTCGCACAACTAGGCCCGAAGATCCCAAATTCTGATTCCGTCCTATTGACCCATGGTCACGGACCACCTAGGCTGCCTTTTCCTCCACATGGTGCACCCAGCCCAACCATGGGTCTTCCTTAATTTCATCCAGAACGCGATCGATTTTTGGTTACATTTAGGGGTTTGTACGAAAAATTCGGTGCACACGACTGTGTGAGATAAGGTGAGGCTGAGGCTGTTGGTGGTTGTGTGGTCCGTTGTTGTTGGTGGGCATGGTGGATGTTGGTGGTTTTGTCCGATGGGTGTTGTGTCGGATGGTGGAGGTGACGGGTTCGAAAGGAATGAATGGAGACGCGAATAAATAGAGGGTTTGGGTTAATTTGGGTTGCGTATATTTAAAAAAATACAAAAAATTTCGCAACATTTAAAAAAATGTTGCGAAAAGTGAGATATTTCGCAACGTTTGACAAACGTTGCGAAATGTGAAACATTCCGCAACACTCAATTTAATCCAAGAAAATCAATTTAACCCAACTTGACCCCGACCCGACCTATTGATAAGACCTAGGGATCGCCCCGCCCCGCTAAGAAATTCCCCGCCTCGTCCCCTCCCAGTTACCCGTTTAAGGCGGGGTGGGGTGGGGTGGGGGTAGGTCCTTTCCCCATTAAATTTTTTTTTTTTTAGTTTTTGATAATTTATTTTTATTGCCCATATTCATTAGATTTAGACAAATAATTTTAGTTGCTATTTTCTATTAGAACTAATGAAAATTTTCATTTAAAGTATTGAATTCTAAAAAAAAATAAAAATTAACGGGACCTCCCCGAACCCGGCTCCGGAGCAAAATTCCCCGCCTCCTTACCCGATTAAGCGGGTTATCCCCGCCCCGTTCGAGGCGGGCCCCACGAATATCGAATTTGTTGGATTTTTTTGCCATCCCTACTATTGAACACGACTAAACTCGTGGGCAAAAGATATTAACGAGGTAGCATATTTCTCTCAAAAGTAAATCAA